CCCCCCCCCCTCGCGCACCGCCTCTGAGCCGAGGTGGCCGCGCCCTGGCTTGGCGCCAGGTTATCGGGTTCCGAAAACAGCTTGTTGGGCTCCCACCCTAAATCCGTACCGGCGCTACTCAGTGGCCAAACGGGTCTCGTCTCTGAATTCGTCTTTTTCCCCCTGGAAGATGTATCGAGGTGTTTTTTCAGGTCGGGAGCGGAGGAAGGCCCATGGAGCGGACTGTGGAGTGACTCTGTTACTCCTGCTAAACCTGTCCTAGGATCGAGGGAGTGCTCCCCGGTAGTCTTCCTGCAACTCTGGAGCTATTTGCTGAGATGGACCTTTACACATGTGCCACGCGTTTTCCTTCAGTATAGTTGACTTAGTATATTGAACCTGTATGTTGCAAGGAGTACAGTATATATGTCTGGATAAATGAGTTAAAACTGGGATAGGAGGACTAACTTTTACAATGTTTTGTGAAGGTAAGGTCTGGTTAGTCCTCCTATCCCAATTTTACAATGTTTTGTGAAGGTAAGGTCTGAAACAAAACACTGTTAGTATTCTTTCAGGCTTCTGGATTTTTTTTTTTTTTTCTTTTGCTTAGTGTGTCACTAGCCTTTTGTGTAATGCCAAATGTCAGATGATTGCACATGCTTTGTCAACAGTTTTGTCTTGTCATATGAAACTACTGGCTGGGAATAGCGAGAAGGAGAGTAGTTTAAAGAGCTTTTATGTAGTATTTTGAGCACAATTTACATCTGAAGTTCTTGTGTGTACATGTTCTTTCTGGAGGCTTTAATATTAATAGTGATGTTGATTTTCAGTTTTGGTTTCAAGTCTTAGATATTTTCCTGAGCGGTCACTGGATTAAAATGTTTGGGTGGTGGTTTTTTTTTGGGGTGCTTTTGACTCATCAGAAATACATAAAAAGTAAAAATTAAGATGGAATGTATAGATTAGGCTGAAATAATGGACTAGTGGGAAAGGGGGGAACTTGGATTAATTTAACTTCTAATAGGGTATTTTCTACAATTGAAAGGATTAGTGGTGTGTTTTTGGCACAGACTGACGCGTACTCATGACAAATTTTTTGTGATCAACCTCCATACCCTCTGCTTTTTAGCTCGAGCAAAATGGCTTTGTTGACTATACAGACCCCAATTGTAAATATTTATTCCCATTTTGAAATGATGGGTTTTAACAGAATTACTGAACAGCCACTAGTAGCTCAAATGAGGTATTTACTTTCAAAATGTTTGGTCAGAAGCAATTGGTTGTTACTCTAGTCAGTAACTAAAGCTGTTGTGTTAAATAGTGCTAATGCTTTATAGGAAGCTTTTTATATCTGCTGTAACTCTTGAAGATGCATGGGTGTGAAAGAGACAGATCCCTGTTATCAGAAGCAGTTGTTATGTAATCCTCTTCATGAGCTGATTGTTTTTTGTTAAGATCTCACAATTAATGAGTTGCCTAATTTAAAATGGGACTTTTTCTTCAAATACTTCAAAATAATAAAACAGGGGTAGAGTCAGCTGTTTTCTAAAAATATATGTTGTGCTTGCGCTACTTCCTGAATTAAGGACCTGGTAAGTAATACTGATCTGATAAGAATGCTTCATTCCAAATGAGTGTTCTCACTCAATCACCACTAACTTCTTGGGGAGCTTCATTTAGTGGTAGACTGCGAGTTAGACTACACTTAATCAAGTCTGTTATTTAGATTTTTGATGTTTTAATTTGAAGTGTTTTTGGTACAAGATATATCACAAAAAATTTGGAACTTAAGATGACCTTGATTGTCAAATGTAGTGTTACAGCATTTAAATAAAAGGTGAAGTTCAGGTGTTTAGGCTAATGTACTATCATTCAAATCACTGTAAATTCTGTATTATTAAATTGTTCTTTTCAGCAAGGAACTCTTATACTTTTGGATATGCAGCCTACTTGACTAAAAGTAATTAATACTTCTAATTGTTTTTCTTAGTTTGGATGTACTTCCGAGAGTGACTTGCCCTAGTCATCCAGATTCCATTTTAGTAGAGGATTACAGAGCTGGTGATATGATTTGTTCTGAGTGCGGGCTAGTAGTAGGTAAGTAGCTATTCGTATTTTTATGAATTACCATATAACTGAAATCGTGTACGTAGATTTGTTTTCCTGCAAAACTGGTATATGATAGTTCTAGTATTAAAAGGCTTTTTCTTAATGCCTAAATGTTTTCTTTTATCATATTCTGTTGGATAAAAGCTTACTGTTTTTAAGTAAGTACTGTCTGTCTTCTGGTAACTTCTTGCTTTATAGAAAGAATCAAACTCTCTCTAGATTAAAAATTTAAAATATGTTGTTGTCCTGGTTTCGGCAGGGATAGAGAGTTAATTCCTTCCCAGTAGCTGGTACAGTGCTGTGTTTTGGATTTAGGGTGAGAACAATGTAACACGCTGATGGTTTAGTTAGT